GCCTCTCTCATCTTTTTAAGTGGGAGAACCTGCACAATTGGTGGCTGACTAAATACTTTTTTGCCCCACTGTCTGATTTAATACTTAAGTGACCTGTGGAGAATGGAGTCAGCTCCAAGGTATGCTGAGTCCAGGCCACTGGAAACTCTTATCGGGCAGGGGTAAGCAATATTGGGCCTGTAGGTACCTCCTTCATTGCAATCAACTTTCTGTGCTCTATCTCACTTAATTTTTTTTTTTAAGATTCAGAAAATAATATGAATGGTCATGATGCAAAGCTGAGTGTCAATATTGAGAATTATCTTTATTTCCAGTAATGTTTCTGGCCCTAGAGAGACTCCATGGAAAATCAGAATAGTGGAGGCTTTTTGGAGGTGGGGTGGATGGGGGGATTCCGGGAAGCAATCCACCCATTTGCTTTTATGACCAACTGTACTCTGGATATTTCAGAGATGTTCAGTGGCTGCCTTTGAATATCTTTCCCTTCTCTAAGATGTCTCCTGTGCTGGTTTCTTGAGTTTAGAAAGCAAGAGTGAGCCAATGCAGCACTGGGGCCCTGTGCCCCCCTTGGCTGCTGTACATCATTTCACTGCCAGTATTTTCCATTGGCTGAAACCTCCCTGTGTGCAGCATTGCCTCTAGCTTGGAAACCTAAAGTCTAGTTGGAGGGCTGGCGGGCTGAGCAAAGTTGCAGCCATGTCACCCTTTGGGATTTGTTTCCACATCCCCTATTTTGTCTTAGCCTCTGTGCTTTTCCCTTCCTTGCCCCCCCCACCCCCAGAGTTTGGTCTCTCTCTAAAGTGGGATTGTATGGCAGGGTTTGGTGGGAGAACATCTGCTTTACGTACCAATGGTGTCATCCAATTAAGTCTTAATGAGAAAGAGCTCCCTCTGCCTGAAATTTGGGAAAGCCAGTTAGTGTAGGGTCATAAGTCACTACAAAATGCCTTGCCCGTAACAAATAGCTCTTTTACCTGCTCTGTTGCTGAAGGAAATGATGCAGTTTCTGTGGCTGCATCAGAACAGGAGCCTGTTCTTGTGATGCCACAGAGGCAAATGGGAATGGTCCATAAAGACCAGGTGGAGGCAAGGCTCCAGCCCTTCCTGTCTTTCACAGAGCTGCACAAAAGAGAGGGGTCTGGGAGGACTCTCAAAGGGCTGGAAGACTTGGGATGCATGAGGCTGGGAGACCATCCATAGTTACTGCTAAAGTTTTTCCTCCCTGGCTGGATCCTGCTTAAAAAGGCTCTCTCCCCTGCCCCTTCTCCATCCTCTTTAGAATTTCCACTGCAAATACAGTTTTAGTCCTCCCTGTCCTGTTATCTTGGCTCCTTTGGCCACAAAAGCAATTTTTGAAACTCAACTAGTTCTTTCTTTCCCTCCGTCCCTCCGTCCCTCCTTTCCTCAGCTGATCTTGGAATGGAAGGCCAGCAACCAAGCTCAGAAGCAGCACCTTCAAAGAGAGCAGTCTGGTTCCACAGATGCCAGTTCCCCTCTCAAAGCCCACTGTCTGATGCAGGGAGAGACACAGCCTCTTCCATCGCGTGGGTCTCCTCCGCTTTGGGGAGTTGTGGCGGCTTCCCAGCGAAGAGTGAATGAGGCAAGAAATGCTTGCCCAAAGCCAAAGTTCAGCTCCACAGTCTGCAGTCCTACGGTTAATGCAGCTGCCCAAAGTAAGTGCATTCTCCTATCAAAGGTGTTAAAGGTATAGTGAAATATGGCAAGAATCTGCCTTCCTGCCACAAATGAATGCAGGTTTCCATGGCTAGATGAATTACATTCCAGGACGCTGAAGAAGCTGGCAGAAGCTGGACCTCAGAAACACTGTGTCTTCGAAAATTCCTGCAGAACTGTTCTGGTGCCAGAAGGCTGGAGAAGAAGAAACCTCTTCCCAGTATTTAGAAAAGGGAAGGCCTGGGAGATAACATAGCCACTGAGTTAGGGTCAAGGTTAGGGTTAGGGTTGGGGTCAGGGACCAGGAGCTAGCATGGGTTTCGCAAGAACAGATGGTGTCTGATTCACCTTATGTCCCTGACAGAGTCACAGGGTTGGTAGCCTGAAGAAAGGCTCTGGATGTAGTATACCTGTAGCATCTTGGTCCTTGTGTATTCCCTGAGGATAGGTGAGATATATGAATGGTATATCTCTTTGCGATTTGCAGCTAATTGAATAACTGTGCCCAAAGAGTGGCTGCAAACTGCTCTGCGTCAGTACCACACAGGGACTTCAGAACTCTGTGCTTGACCTCCTCCTATTCACTGTCTTTATAAACAGCCTGGAAGGTATGCTTCTTGAGTTTGCAGGTGACCCAGTCTGCAAAATGGGAGGTCAAAACTGTAATTCAAAATGGCCATGACCAACCTGAACATGGGGCCAGGTCCAACAGGATGATGTTCCACAAAGACAGGTCTAAGACACCCTGCCCCTGCCCCTGCCCCACCAAATCTGGATGGGAAATATTAAATCCATACTGGCAGGTATAGGCAAGTTGGGATGGCAGAAACCAAGCCACAGAGGAATGGCTGAAAGAGCTGGGCATGTTGAGTTTGCAGAAGAGGAAATTCAAAATCTAGAAATGATCTCTAAATATCTCAGAGGCTGTTCTCTGCTGAAACTGAAGGCAGGACATGGGCTGAAATGAAAGTAGATTCAAACTGAATATGGGGTTTCCTGCCAGGAAGAGCTATGAAGCAAGGGAACAGTTAGCCTGGAATAGGGATGGACTCTGTCTACTGAAGGTTTTCAGATTAAAAAAAAAAAAAAATTTAGATTTCTATCCTGCCTTTCCTTCAGAAGCTGAAGACAGTGCATAGCATTCTCTCCTCTAGTTAATCCCTGCAAGAACCCTATTGATTGGGCTGAGAGAGAATCACCCAGTACTCTTCTCTGGTGAGGTGGGGCTTAAACTGGGGTTTTTCCAGTGCCACTCCATCATCCTTGTCACTATATCACACCGGTGCTGGATGGCTACCTTTTGGGGATATTTTTATTATTATTTTCTTATTTTTATATGGCTGCCCAATTTGCTAATTGGGAATCTGGGTAGCTAACATAGTTATTAAAGCTAAGAACATAAATCAACAAGATAAAACAACATGAAGGAAAGTACAACAGATCTCCAAGGCCTTATGGAAGGCCAGCAGGATCAGGGCCACCCTGAGACCCCCAATCTCACGGAGTATGCTGTTCCAAAGAGCAGATGTTGCCACAGAGAAGGCATGCCTCCTGGACGCCACCAGATGACATTGTTCTATAGCAGGGATCCAAAGCATGTCCCCCTGACAGAGGTCATGGGAGAGTCAATCGGAGACAGGTGATCCCATAAGTAACCTGGCTCTGTGCCACGAAGGACTTTATAGGAGAAAACCAGAACTGCGTGTGTGTGGGAACGTGTGTGTGTTTGCAGTCCCAGTCCCATCCCCCCCAAGCTTTGTGTTGTCTGCATATTTTTTTAATTATATTTTATTGAAATTTTAAAGTTACAAAGTTAAAAGTTAGAAATGAAAAAGAAAATT